CCCCGTGGCTGCGCTCGTGCTCACGGCGCAGCGTGTGGGATGGAGTTTTCGGAGTCCGACGCGTGCGGTTGACGACCTGGGGCGGGAGCGGGATTTGCAATTTGATTCCCCTGCTTGCGTGTCGGACCAGATTGCGCACTCGGCCAGGCGAGCTTCGGACGTTAGGGCGCTCGCTCTGCAGGACAGGGGGTGCTGGTCGTCCCCGATCTTCTGGCGGCCGATTCTCGAGGCAATGTTCTGTGATTGGAAGCCCGGTTGGGAGAAGCATCAGCAGTCTTCTCTCCGGGGCCTGGTGGCCCGAGAAGGCCAAGGAGGACGACGAACCACGAACGAACGAACCACGAAAATAACGAGGTCCGAGCTCTAGAGAACAGCTGTGCAAGAGAATAAAGAGGTCCGAGCTCTAGAATACAGCTGTGCAAGAGAATAAAGAGGTCCGAGCTCTAGAACACAGCTGTGCAAGAGAATAACGGTCCTTTTCTTAGGTCCACACTGGGCACCCTCCTCCAGCGCGCGGAGCAAGCCACGGGCGGCGCCAGAAGGGCCGGCAGAGGATGGCCATCGACGACCCCAGAAATCCGAGCGGACCTCTAGAAGTTCATGCTCGTGCCGATGCTTGTGTCGGGCGGGCGTCAGGATACAAAAATCGAGGATCGAGGATCGAGGATCGAGGATCGAGGACCGAGGACCGAGGACCGAGGACCGAAGACCGAGGAGGAGGAAGAGGAGGAGGAGGAGGAGGAGGAGGAGGACCGAGGAGGAGGACCGAGGAGGAGGACCGAGGAGGAGGACCGAGGAGGAGGAGGAGGAGGAGGAGGAGGAGGAGGAGGGTAGCCCGCGCGGCGGGCTCCGCGCCTCGCTCGCGGCCTCCGCGCCGCCCCGCGGCGCGGCGCCGGGGCGGCAGAACACCTCGCTGCCGGAGGAGCTGCCTCCGCCAGCGTCTCCCGGGTCGCCTGGATCCTGCGCCCGCAGAGTTGAGTTCGGCGGCGAGTGAGGGGGGGGGGGGAGAAGGAGAAGGCCTTCTCAGAAGGCTCGGAAGTCCCCCGGCCTTCTGAGAAGTTGTCTAAGCCTTCCCCGAAGACAGAACAGACTTCTCAGAAGGCGCGAGGGCCTCTCAGAAGTCCCGCCACCTTCTGAGAAGGCCTTCTCTTTCTCATTTCCCCCCCCGCTCGCCGCCCGCAGAAGAGGACTCGGCGCGACCAGGAGCACGGAGGATGACACGCAGCCGCGCAGAATCAAGCAAACAAACAAGCACAGGCCGACTGCTCTGACGGAGTGCCCCACGCTGGTTGGCTTCGGCCCGACCGTGGGACTTGCGCCGAGACGCGGAAGACGCCGCATCCATGCTCACACGTGTACCAGATATCTGAGTGCCCAACGATGTGGCGGTGACAGATGGTCCAATAATGAACTTAGGGATTGGGTTCCTCAATTTACCTGCACTTCACTGCAAGTCGACATCACGGCGAATCTTTGGATTCAAAATTGATGTTGGATTCATCCCCCGCCTCATGCGTTGGGACATCACCACCATATCGCATCCGAACCTCATCAGCTCTGAACCGAGATCTTGGTGGGTTCAGTGCAGAAGCTTACTCTCCTCCCTTGCTCTCCGTGTTGCGAAGGCCCCGCACACATCTACATCTTCAACATTACTCGAAATCGGATGCGTATCAAGACGGGGACACGTCCAGTGTAGCCACCCTCGAGAAATTATCCATCTGTTTCGCCAGCGTCCCTCTGGCCAGGCCGCCTTGTCTGTTAGCTCGCGCGCGTGCCGTTCGCATCACGAGCCAACTAAACATAGATCTGGGACGCTTACTGCACGCGACGTCTGGCCATCGTCAAACACAGGAGGGAGGGAGGGGAAGAGGGCAAGCTATGTGCGCTCGCGTCATATCTGACGTCCTACCCCTCCCTCCCATCCCTTACCATGGCGCTGATATTCTCTATCCGCGGACGCGTGTCGTAGCGGACCTGTGGCTCCGCGCGCGCGTGCGTAGTGGGTGGTGGTGCGCGTGCGTGCGTGCGTGCGTGTGTGCGTGGTTGTGGTTGTGGTGTGGTGTGGTGTGGTTGTGGTGTGGTGTGGTGTGGTGTGGTGTGGTGGTGGTGGTGGTGGTGGTGGTGGTGGTGGTGGTGGTGTGTGCGTGTGTGTGTGTGTGTGTGTGGTGTGGTGTGTGGTGTGGTGTGTGTGTGGTGTGTGTGGTGTGGTGTGTGTGTGTGTGTGTGTGTGTGCGTGTGTATGTGTGTGTGTGTGTGCGTGCGTGCGTGTGTGTCTGTGTGCGCGCGCGTGTGATGTGGTGTGACGCGGTGTAGCGTGGTGGTGGTGGGTGGGGTAGTGGGGTGGTGGTGGCGGTGCGCGTGCGTGCGTGCGTGCGTGCGTTGGTGGGTGGAAGTGGCGGTGGGCGGGGCGGGGCGTGGTGCGGTGGTGGCAGCCGGATGGGCGCGCGAGAAAGAGGCCCGCGCTGGGGCGAAAACGCCATCCTGAACGACGGAGGCAAAACACCGATCCGAAAATGAGACCCACGCTGCAGCGGGAGCACGATTCGGAACGAGCGGGGCCCGAAAATGAGGCCGGCGCCTTAGCGAGAGCAGCATTTTGGAAAAAAATGCAGGCGAAAACCCAACTCCGGGGAAACCTGTGTGTAAAAAACAATACGCGGGGGGGGGGGGCGGCTACTCCCAAGACGTCATCAGGGGAAGAGGGAGAGTAGTATTCATATTGAGTAATTGTGAAGGCGAGAAAGAGAGAGACGCGAGAAGACACGTGTGCGAACCCGCAAGAAAATATCGTTCCCCTGCCTGCGAAGGAGCGGGGAAGTGCAGACTGGCCAAAGCAATAAATTCCAAACATCATCCGATAATCACGGTAAAAAAAGAGGAGCGGAAGAAGGTGAAGAAGGAGGCAAGTTGCATAAGATGTCACCCTTTACATCTCAAGTGGAACAGGCGCGTATAAGTGTGGAAATGGTTGCGTGTGCGCATATGAAATCCACCACGCCAGACGGACCCAAGGAGGCCGCCTAGAAGACCGCACGCCGGACGGACGAACGGAGTTCCAGCAGCGAAGGAGCAGCATGCATCAAATTGCAGCCGAAAGTATGAACAAGAAGAATATCATTCAAGAGATCTGGGCCAGTTTCCTCGAAGCTTCTTTGAACAAGCCTGGGCCAATGTCTGTTGTTGGCGCTGGAGGGGCGAACGTGCTCAAGACACGGGGCCAGCTTTCTGGCAAGCTGGTTGAGAAACGCTGGACCAGCTATTCCGGAGGATATTTCTAATTCAGGTGCTCGACTGTGCTGCGTGTGCGCCCGGCTCTGGGTTCAGCGGTCGCCCACACCCCGCTGGGAGCGCGTGTCCCGCCACGACAAAACGAAAAGCTGCCGGGCACGAGGCGGGCTTCAGCGACGCTGCCTAAGTACGTCAGGAGTCTGTCATCCGCGGCCACGAAGATCGCCCACTGCGCGAGACGTTCCTGCGAGCACCCCGGATTGTTCATCACCCTCGAGATCTGCGATGCGCTGACCCTGTCAATGTCTTGCATACGAGCCGCAATCAACTCCGACTCAAGATTTGGAACAAGGGTGTGCAAAGCCAGGATGTGTATCGCGCCTTCCGCGGAGCATCTACGTCACTGATCCTGTCAATTTGTTGACTCCGGGCCACAACAGATCTCCGACCGAAGATCTCGTATGTGTATCTTGGATCTTTCCCTCGCTGTCTTTTACGACATCTCTGGCGCTGCCAAGATGTCAGATCCGAGCCGCCACCCAGCCCCAAGTCACAAGACCTCGGTAAGATCACTGAGCTGATATGGCTCTTCCCTCGACGCTTGCTTTCCGACACCACTAAACCTATCGTCAAATGAACACCTGGCCACCACCAGTTTCACCCCAATGTCTTGATAGGTACTGGGTTGAGCCTGAAATTATCCTCCGCCCATCGCTGCTTTTCGACGCCCCTGGCCTTTCAGAGTCTCGAATCGGAGCTCGTCATATTGCGTCGACAAGGGGACGTTAGTCATGTCGTGAGCACGAGCCGCAACTCAGATCCGATGCTAAATCTCCATTGGCTCCTGGTAGAGCTCGGATTACCCGCTTCATCCTCTGCTTTCAGACACAAGACATTACATCCAGATCACCACCAAGCCCAGATTCCAAATCTTGACAGGCTCGCTGAGGAGCTCGGGATCATCCTTCGCAGTCTGCGTTTCGACGCCGCTGTACCCCTTGGGATATCAACCTGGGCAACCGCTTGGCTCCGATTCGGTGATGATGCGTTCGGCGTCGAGCCTGGGGTCCTCCTTCCAGCTGCGTTGCGACGACGCTGAACCTACTGAGATCTTGGATCCCAGGAGCGTACCAGCTCCGATTAGATAATGTCGTGGGACTCGCATGGAACCTGGATTCCTCCCTCTCCTGATGCTTCGATGCGCAAAGACAAGATGTCAGCATCCCAGAGCAGAGCCGCCACCAGCCCTAGTTCGAGACCCCAGCAGATTCAACCTACAGCTTGGATTTCTCTCCTGCACTCTGCTTTACAGCGCCACTGAAACTGCCCGCATGTAAAGTCCGAGTTACGACGGCGTGTGAGAGAAACGCGGTCGACCCGACGTATGACGTCTCTCTCACACTGCGCGTTGAAACGCTTTTTGACCTATCGAGATGCGAAAACGAAACGCACCCCTGGTCTGGTTAATCATCTTGATTGGTTGAGTTTATAGCGTGAGCTTGCATGTCTCAAATCCTCCCTTGCCAACTGCTTTGCGACTACTTTTGCGAGCAGCGAGGTCACGATTGGATCCGCATGAGGCGTTTTTCCGCTGGACTCCCCAGGTGCAGTGCAGAGAGAAAGTGGCGATAGGTCTAAGGCTGGGGCTACACACGGGAAGCCAACAAGATCGATGAGGCGCAGGGGAAAAGGAGGAAAAAAGGGGGAGAAAAGTTTCGCCTCTGACCCAAAATGCTGCAGTGATGAATGACCCCATATGGTAATTTGGCCGCCGCTTTGCTCCTGGCTGCTTGGCGCGTATTCTCCCTGCTCCTCCCCTTCCTTCTCCTTCACGGCAGATGCTTCACAAGAAGGGGGGGAGAGGCAACAGCTGTACCCGTCAATCGGAAGAAGGGGGTAGAAACATTGAGTAGGAAGGCACTGGAAAAAGGTTGGCTATTCGCTCTGCCCCTGAAGAAGAGGGAAGAAGGAAACCACTCGCTCCTTGAGGTAGGAAGAAGCCTAAAGTAGATTGGAATCTGGATATCCAGAAACGCTTGCTTTCAACGACTGACGCTTACTTTGCAGAAGAGGATCTCTGGCCCAAAGAAGGTTCGGGGAAGAAGGTGCAGGGGCCCCGTCCAATCTTGCTTGAGCGGTGGCCATGGGTGCTCGGAACAACAGCGACGCCACACAAAAAAAGTCGCCGCCGCCGCCCCCACGCTGGAGGACTCCTGGATGGGGTCCGAGTAGATAGGGTCGGCGGATCGCACCGCATCGCCGATGCATCAGCGATGCATCAGCGCCGTCGGCGTGGAAAACATTGGGCTCCACATCGAGCCGCATCGCCGATGCATCGCCCCATCTACTCGGACCCCATTTGGGAGGCCTAAACACGCGGAACCCATGCTAGAGGCCTCCATCCGAGGCGACCTCACCAGGGACGCCACCATCCTCGAGTGGATCGGGCGCGCTCGGTCAGCGATGCCTCGGCGCCGTCGGAGTGGAAAAAATCGGGCTCCACAGCGAGCCGCCTCGCCGATGCATCGGCGATGCGGTGCGATCCTGCGACCCCGCGCTGCTCGGACCCCTTGTGGGAGGCGTGGACACCCGAGCCAGGCCGGCCCGGAAGTGACGCCTCAGGCCTGGGGCGGGGAGGGGCGGGCGCGCGGCCGAGCCCCGGCAGCGGCGGCGGGGCGGCTCTCTCGAGAAGCGCGCTCGACGGAAGCTCGGCTTCCGGATCGGCGGCGAGCCCAGGGGGGGGGGGGGGGGTAACGACAGGGGTGGACTGGCACAGGGGGGGGATGCATCGAAGTGCAATCGGCAATACATCGCCGATAGATCGGCGATAGGCCTCTGATAGAGTCCGCACCCTCCTGGGCAGGTTGGGGCTATCGGGCCCCTACCGGCGATGAATGGGCGATTGGGGGTCGATGAATACTCCCTGTGCCTATCCCCCCCAATCTTGGACCCCGAGGGGGGGGAGGCAGAGGGGGCGGGCCTTCCCAGAGGGCCCGAGAAGTGATCGGGGCCTCCTCCGAAGGCAGAGGCGGCTCCCGAGAAGGCCCGAGGGCTTCTGAGAAGCCCCGCGGCCTTCCGAGACGGCCTGCCCCGTCTCGCCACCCCCCCCCCCGGGGCGCGCCGCCGATCCGGGGTCCGGGGGGCCATACCGAAGGCGGCTCCTGGAGGGGGGGAGGCAGGTGCCAGGCGTGGTCCCGAGCTCCGCCTGTGCAGTCATCGATCTACCAGGAGGAGCGCAAACGGAACGAAGGGGCTCTTCTGGCTACGGCGAGCTTCGGCTACGAACAGGCTCCACGACATAGATCTGAGAAACAGCCCGACAACCGGAGCCCCGCTCAGCCCAAAGTGGTCCTGAGTCCAGGGCCTTGATTGTACCCTGAAACGTGCGCTTCTGTCGCTCGGGCAGGACTTGTTCGCCAGGGTGCCGGCGCTGGCGGCGCTTATGGACCGACGGGACGCCGCCTCGCGAAAGAAGCGGCCGCGCGCGCCATACGACGACGGCGACGACCAGGACGGCGACAGAATCTTCGGAATCCTGCGAGTGCCTTCGTACATACGCCTGCGAGCCGTCCTCGATCGACTGCGGGACCAAGCCCGGCGGAGAGGTGCGACGACCCGCCAGTTCCTCCAGTGCCCAAGCTGCCAGGGCGCCCAGCCACTCGCCAGCGGTCGCGCGGGGCATCCTGCTGACCACATGATCGGAGACCTCCCACATGGGGTCCGAGCAGACGGGATCGGAGGATCCCGCCGCATCGCCGATGCATCGGCGACACGCCGGCGACGTCGGCGATGCTTCGGCGCCGTGGCGTCGAGAAAGCCGGGCTCTACATCGAGCCGCACCTCCGATGCAACAGAAATGCGGCGCGGCCGACCCAGACCCCCGACGTCATGATTTATGTCATAGCTTCGACCCCCAGAGGTTTCGACCTGTTCCCGGGGACCGGTTTTTCAACCAGTCGTTTTTTTGACGGTCCCGAGGCCCCGTAAGGGCCCCCAGAATCCGAAAAGGGCGGAAAACCTCCCGCCGCGATTCTCCATTGCTCGAGGGGGTCTGGGGACCCCGCCCGCGCCGGCCCCGCCGGGGAGGCCTGGAGGAGGCGCTGCCGCTCCGCGCGACGCAGGCCCTCGGAGAGCGGGCGGGCCGAGGGGCTCGGGCTCCTCCGCGCCAGCGCCCGGCAGCGCCGCTGGGGCCGCCGCGCCGTCGGAGCCCGGCGGGCAGGCGGTGCCCGGGGCGCCTCCCGGGGAGGCTCGTCGTCGTCGTCGTCGTCGTCGCCGTTGTCGTCGTCATCGTCGTCATCGTCGTCGTCGTCGTCGTCGTCGCCGTCGTCGTCGTCGTCATCGTCGCGCCGACCTCCAGGGCGCAGGCAATCCGGTCCCTGGGCTTCGGACGGGCTGGCTCTGTTCCGGCAGGGGCGACGCTTCCTCGGTTTCTCGGCCTCCATGGGCCCGCGGGGCGGAGCACAGAACCCATCGGACGGATTTGGGGGGCCCGCCCCCCGTGGTGAAAAAGCAGTCGTCGTCGTCGTCGCCGCCGTCATTGTCGTCGTCGTCATCCTCACAGGGGCCCGGGTAGGGAAAACGAGGCCCCCCCCCACCCCCGGCTGCAGATCTGGCCGAACCGGGCACCTGCCCCGAGACGCCGACCGCTGCATCTCAAATCCGATGTCGATCGACAGAATGCGGCCTGCGCCAATATACATATACGTATACCTATGCAGATAAATAAGCGTAGGCATAGGCATAGACATAGACATTTATATATCCATACACACAAGCATATGCACATACAACTGCCACTGCTATATATATATATATATATATATATATATATATATATATGTGAATATATGTGAATTTGTATATATGTTTGTGTTGATATATATATATATACACAAATGTGAATAAATGCATATACAAATGCATAGACATATACATGATCATATGCAACACATACACATGCACAACTACAGACACACTACACACACGTGTACTTATGTGCACATGAACACAAACATACACATATACGTACACATACACCGAATGATATACGAAAACATTCACATCTGCAATAACAGAAATGTGGAGAGAGAAAGAAAAAAAAAAGAAAAAAAAATGTGCAAGTCCAGATACCAACATATGAACACTATCATAGCTGTTTATACATATCTACACATACACATAGACGAATGCATATACATTGACATGTCAATACACATGTACATATGCATACACAGATGGCTAAACACATTCACGTATACATGTGTGTAAGTGCATTGGTGATCATATGCAAAAACCTGCGCTAACAAAACAAACTATATATATATATGTATAAACATCTACATCTACAAATTTAAATACGCATACATGTGCCTAAGCATGTACATAAACATATGCATATACATATGCCGAATCACAGTCACAACCATTTGTACACATGCACATACATACATATGCCCATACACAAATCTACACATATAAGTTCGCAGATGCAGATACACCACAGACGTTGGTCATTACAGCTGTCCTGCTGCCTCGTCGGACCCTTATAATTTTCCCCCGCCTCATCCACTCTTCCTCGAGTCACCTGCCCTTCTCGCATCAAGAGATGTAGCGGTGTCTGTACCACCACTTTATCGTCTAACTACAAACAGTTGAATATACGTATGCACCTTCTTGTTACTCGAACGGGGAATGTGTACATGCGTTTGTGTTTATCTCTCTCTCTCTCTTGCTCTATCTCGTTATCTCTCTTTGTCTCTCTCTCTCTCTCTCTCCCTCTCTCTCTCTCTCTCTTTCTCTTTTTCTCTCTCTCTCCCTCTTTATGTCTATATATATATATGTATCCTCTCCCTCTCTGTATCTCGCTCTCTCTCTCTCTCTTTCTCTCTCTCTCTCTCTCTCTCTCTCTCTCTCTCTCTTTCCCAGCACGATTCCTTTCAAGAACATAAATACCTGGGGACTGCGCTGGCACGGGTAGAGAGCGGAACACCTTTTGCCACAGCAAGCAGGATCCAAGGAAACGAAGGTTGCGCCAACAACTGAATCGAATGCGAGCCACTCGAGAGGCCAGCGGAGAGAGGCAACGGCAATCGGAGCTGTTTCCGACGGCACACACACACACATCAAGCAACAGGCCAGGATTAAAAGGTAAATGGCAGGGCGGGCGGGCCACATGACTATAGAGGATACCTGTCGTATCCAATGCCTCGCCGTTCCCTCTACACTGAGCAGGTAAACACATCGAGGATATCAATACCTGGGCGTTGCGCTGGCACGGGTAGAGAGCGGAAGACATTTTGCCACAGCACGCAGGATCCAAGGAAACGATGGCTGCGTCAACAACTGAATCGAATGCGAGCCATTCGAGAGGCCGGCGGCGAGAGGCGACGGCAATCGGAGCTGTCTCCGACGACACACACACACACATCAAGCAACAGGCCCATAGCCCATATATTGGAACGTGATACACAAGGCAGGGTGGGCGGGCTCACAGATATAGGCGCTAGCCGTTGTAATGCTCATCTACGACTTCGAGTACGTCGGCACCATCAGCGAAGTTCGAGCAGCTGCGGCAGGCGGTGCAAGAGCGACGTGCCTCGGCGCCGCTGCTGGTCCGTCATCTTCCGAGTCTGCCGCAGGACGCGGCCGCCCTTCGCGTAGTTCTTCACGCTGGCCTTCGCGCCCCAGCGGCCCGGCCCCTGCACCTCTGCCAGCGAGCGGCGGCGGCCGAGCGCGCCCACGCTCGGGCCGCCGCGGCGGAGCATGCGCGGCGAGAGGCGCAGCTCCGACAGGCCGGCGTCGGCGGCGGCGCTGCCGAAGAGGTGCTCGAAATTCGCGAGCGCCAGGTTCGGGAAGAGTTTCGAGGACCCCGCCGCGCCTGCAGCAGCCAGCAGCGTCTCCATCAGCTTGCGGAGGTACGCGCGGCCCGCCGCCACGGAGACCTGGTCGTGGATCAGCACGGTGTCGTCGTACTCGCCCGTCTTCGCGGGCGGCTTGGCCTGGCCCTTCTCGTCGGGCGAACGAGCAAGAGCAGGGGCGATGGTGATCGCCAGCGGGCCCCGCGCGGACACGTCGGCGATGTCGGCGCGTCGGATGTTGAGCTCATCCGAGGGCCGGAAGTACCCGTCCTGCATCAGCACCACCGCCCGAGCTGCCGCCAGCCCGTCGTCGCCCTGCCCCGCCAGCTGCTCCGCGCGAGGGCGAGGGCGATCCACGGGCAGGGATCGCGCGCCACCTCCGGCTCCTCCTGGCGCCATCCCTGGAGGGCGAGCTTGGCACGAGGCAAGACGCCGTTGCTCCGAAGCTGAGGTTGAGGCTGAACGCGACCGCCGCCAGCATCACGCGACCCGAGCTGACCGCCTCGCCGTCGATGTAGAGCTCCGTCACGAACGCCCCCAAGATCCCGTCGAGCTTCCCGAGGTCGGCGGGCAGCGCACGGCCGTGAAAACGCACGGCGCGACGGCGCCAGCTCTCGTAGACGACGGCGGTCCTGGCCGAGACGCTCTCGGTCTTCAGATGGTGCTGGCGCGAGGCTGCTGCCTTGGCAGGGGCTGCCTTCGCAGCGGCTCGCCCCTTGCCGGCGCGGGCGGCGCGGGCGGCGGCCTTCGGGCGTCGCATGGCCGGCGGTCGCGCCTCGGCCGAGCGAGGGCGCCCGCGGCGCGACGCAGCGGTGGTCGCGGCCTCCCCAGGAGCGGGCTCCCAAGGGCCACTCGCGGACTCCGTCGGCTGGATGCGGGTCGAGCCGAGGTCCGGAGGTGGCAGCGTCGACCCCAGCGGCCCGCAGTAGCGCAGCGTGCCACTTGCCGCGTCCCACTGCATAGCCGCCCTGGGCCGCGCCAAGCCGCGAGCCGCGGGGCGCCGCAACGTCGGCGATGGCAACCCAGGCGCGGCGCAGGCCTGGCGGAAAGGCACCCGCGAGGGTCGTGCGCCAAGCGGCTCGAGCCAGCGGGGCCGCGGTCGGAGGGGCCGAGGACGCCGAGGTGCCGGAACAGGGCCGAGGAGTGACATGGACTTTCCCTTCCAAGACGTCGTGATAGTGGCCCCCCGACAACGCCGATGCAACTGACTGAGGCCCGGGAGCGCATCCAGGAGACCAGTGGACTTTCGATTGTGAGCACCAAATTCGCACATATCGAGCTCGACAAAGACGGACTGAGGCAACCTGAGAAGCGGGCGAATGAAGCCATGTTCCCACAAGCCCGACGGGACGACGTCCGCTGGACGAAAGTGATGCTAGATTGGTCCTTGACAGGTCGCAGAGCGCAGGCGCGGCCGCCTACGCGGTGGCGCGACAGCCTCGGCAGGTTTTTTACCCGCAAGGCAAGCAGGCCTGTTGGCGCTTCCTCGTGGATTGCGGTGGCGCAAAGCCGGGATAATCGGAACCAGCTGGAAGATGATCACGTTGAGTTCTGTAAGCGGTGAGGGCGGCAGGCACGGCTGCCATCCGTCGAGCCCTGTTTGGGGGCACGCGGCAGCGTGCGACACGCGCTGCCCGTACTCAACTTGATTTGCTTTGCTTTGCTTTGCTTCCCACAAGCCCGAGCGAAGCGGGTTCTCGCTCGTCCAAAAGACGCCGAGCCGCCGGCACAAATCGACCAGCCTTCGGGCAACGCGGACATCCCGCGCGGCGCGCAAAGCATCGGCTGGAGAGAGAGGACCGTGACGCGCCGTGCTTCTGGTCGTGCAAGGCGCCCCAAGATGCACACACCAGATAGTTCCATCCCGAAGCCAGCCGTCAAGAACCCGAAGCGTCTTACAGGAGTGCAGGTCGCAGCAGGAGGCCCGCTGGAGGTCCATCGGGGGCAGCGCGCGGAGCCCAGCCCACCAGCGCCGACGAAGGCCAGCTGGCACCAGAGTAGACCTCCATGCACGCCCGAGCTCGTCGCGCAGCGCGAGGCCTGCGTGGGAGACGAGGGCGCTCTGACAAGCGCCGACGGGCGCCCGAAACCGGCTCGGAGGGCGGCAGCACTAGGGCGCGCCGCCGGGGCGGCAGCCGCGGCAGCCTAGAAGTTGTTGGAGACGCAGTAGCTCCGACGCCGGAGGCGGCGAGGCGGGCGACGGCGCGAGCGGACCTGGGCCCCCCGGCGGGAAGCCTGCGTCGCGGTCCAGCGGGCGCCCAGAAGCCCAAGCGCTGCGGCGGCCCGCCGGCGGCGCCTCCAGCGCGCAGCAGCGGGGACAGCAGCAGGACCTGGCGGGGCGCGCGCGCGGGCCACGGCGCTCCCTCGCGACCCCCCTCGATAACGAGAGGGGGCGGTCGGCTCCACTCAGCCGAGTCGAGGGCCAAGCGGCAGGCGCGACCTCCCCGCGATCAGCCGCGCGGGAGTCGTAGTCCGCGCAGTTGCTGGCGCTCTCGATGCACCTTAGGTGCGGCGCCGATCGCGAGGGCCGCCGCCTGGCGCGCCAGAAGCCGCAGCCAGAAATCCAAGGCGCGGCCCTTCATGAACGCCAGTAGCACGCTCAGGTTGTCGGCGAGCCCGAGCAGCCGCATGCCGTGCACGGCGGGGCAGCGAGCGGCCCGCCGCAGCTGCACCAGCGCGACGCGCGCCTCCTTCAGGTGGGTGGCGTTGTGGTAGGCCCAGCCGCCCTTCACGATGTTCCGCCAGCGCTCGGGGCGTGCCCAGATGTCGCCCAACGCGCGGAAAGCGTCCGAGGCCTCGACCACGCGGCAGGGCGCCCGACGCCGGCGAGGCCAGGACGGGGGCGCCGAGCGGGGCGGGCCTGACTGCTCCGCGACGCCCGCGATGTCCAGGCCAAGCGCCCCGAACGCGGCGGCCAGGTGCGGGGCCCCCCCTCGATGCGGTCGCCGTCGCCGGGCGCCTCCGCGAGGTTGACCTCCTCCGTCTTGAACCTCCAGCGCTCGCGTAGGCGGTCGGCGTCCAGGATGTCCGAGGGCGCCGCCCGCGCGAAGGAGAGCGAGTAGCCGATGGTCGAGCTGCCCCCCGAGAACACTACGGGCGCGCGCGCCGCCGCCAGATCCACGTCGACCAGCTCCACGAGGCCCTTCAGGACGCGCAACTCGGCGTCCAGGGAGTCGTTGAACTGGCCCCACCCGCGTCGACCATAGCGCTGCAGGAAGCTGTAGCAGTGGTCCAGGGCGGACAGGCCCCACGGCATCAAGCGGAAGTGGTTCACGAGGTGCCCGACGCCGCGCTCGAGGGTGCCGCCCGGGCAGCCGCCCCGCTGGAGCAGGCGCTCGATGGCCAGGTAGAGTCGCCAGGTGCACTGCTCGGTCGGCAGCAGCTGGAGCTGGGATCCGCCCAGGAAGCGCAGGCCCACAACGGTGAGGTCGGTCTGGGCGCGCTCGACGTCGTGGACGACGAAGCCCATCTCCTCCAGTCGCGCGGCGCGAGGTAGCGGTCCAGGCCGCGCCGGGCGTCGGCGCGGTCGAAGCCGATCACTGCGCCGTTGTCGACGTGCACCGAGAACACGGGGTGCCCAGGAGCGACCAAGAGCGCGGGCGCGCCCTCGCGCAGCAGGCCGCCCAGCGGTAGCAGGGGCCGACCTGGGGCATGGGCGCGCGGGCCCGCCGCCGCCAGCGCGGCGTCCTCCATAATCGAATGGCAGATGTAGAGCGCCCGGCTGAAACCCATGCAGAGCACCCCCATCACGAAGTACAGGACGGTGTCGCCGTCGACGGGGAAGTCCTTCTCGGCGTCCTCGTCGTAGCACGTGGAAACGCCCCACTCGCGAGCCGTGAAACCGAACTCCACGCCGAGCCACCGCCCGATCCGCTTGGCGCGGCACTGGTAGAATCCCTGGTACAGGTCCAAGCTGGCGACGTGGATGTCAGCCCCCCGCGGGTCGCAGCCGGCGATCTCGAAGGCGGCGTCGCCGAGGTCGAGGTCGCGAAGGGCGCCGGGGCCTCCGAGCTGCACGTGGGGGGGGCTCCTGCATGAGCTGGTTAGCCTCGCGGGCGTCAACGATCACGCGCTGCGAGCCGTCCTTCTCGGCGCCGAAGAACACCGCGATGCGGGCGCGAATCGAAGTCCGAAGCCCGCCCAGCCCGCGCGCCAACAGGTCTCTCAGCAGCGCGGAAAGGGCCGCGCGCGAGGCGCGGAGCTTGGCGCCCCAGCAGGGCTTCACGGGCGTGATCAGGCCGCCCTGGACGCGCGCCTCCACTTCGGCTACGGCGCGCCCACGGCGCCGCTCGGACACAAGGTACTGCGCGAGGGCGAGGCCTGACAGCACCGACTCCAGCGGCTTGGGTTTGGCCGGGCGCTTCAGGATCTTCAAGAAGTCAGCGTCGAAGACCTCGAGGCCCTGCGGCTCTGTGTCATACATGTCGTTGGTCTTGAGAAGCTCAAATACGGCTTCCTTCGGGGAGGTGCGTGGCGCAGTCCCCCAGCGCGAAATCCCCACCCCCCACCCGTCCGATCACCGAGGCCTGCGGCACGTTGGGGACGCGGGAAGGAGGATCGACAATAGCCAAAGGCGACTTGGTGGAAGCCGATGCCAAAGCGTTCAGCGCCACGATCGACTCCGCCTCGCCAGCGCGCCGCGACCGGCGGCGGGAGGCAGCACGCACTGCTGCTCGATGCTGGTGACGGCCATGATGATCAAGATCGGGGCAGGGAAGCGGGAAGATGTCAGCGCGCGAGGACGCGACGGGCCCGGCCTGCCGAAGAGAACGCACGCAGTCCGAATTCAGGCCGATGGGAACGGGGGGCGCTGGGTCCGATTGGGCGGCCAGGCCAATCAGCTCGCGGCGGACGCCCCCCGGCAGCGTAGTCATCATTCCGCGGGCCCCGACCCCTTGTTCTTGGGATCGGCGGCCCGCTTGCGCTCTGCCTCCTTCTCTTCCCGAAGCAGACGTCCCTGCTTCGCGATCGTCGCCTGGTCCTTCTGGCCGTTCGCAACCCACTGCGAGAAGACCGCTGTCGTCGCCGCGCCGCTCTCGTCGGTGGATGCGCTCATCAGCACGTCGAGGCCCGTGAAGTCGGGCACCTTGGCGTTGCGGCGGACCGCCACCTCTATCTGCACGAGGCGGCGGAACAGAAGCTCGGTGCTGGCCAGCATGGAGACGCCCAGCTGGTCGAACTGCACTTGCCAGCGGAGCACCTCGGAGAGGAGGAAGTGCTCGCGGGCCGCGGCGCCGTTCACGTTGACGCCAGACTTCCGCGCCCACTCGTGACGGTGGGTGGTGAGCGACTGGCCCTGGGCGCGGAGGCTCTGCGGGAACTCGACCGCCACGCGAGGCCCCGAAAACGGGAAGTGCTCGATCTTCGCGTTCTCGAAGCGCGTGAGGGCATCGTCCTCCGGGATGAGGGGCACCCCGCGCCGATCGCGCTGCAGGCCCGTCACGCGGGGGTCGCGGCCGAAGGCGGTGACCTTCTCCAGCCGCCAGGCCTCCTCGCGGCCGACCTCGACCGCCTCGGCGTGGACCCAGCGCCGATCCACCAGCGCCAGCCCGCTGCTCTCGCGAGCCACGAAGCAGGCGGGGTCGGCCACCGCCGCTTCGGGCACCGCCGAAGCGAAGGCCTCGTGCGCGGGATCGGCCACCCTCCAGACGGTGTCGGGCGCCGTCGTGGCAACGGCCGTGATCCCGTGCACCGCCGCAAGCATCTTCCCCCGCCTCACAAACTCGGCGAGCTCCGCGGCCGAGATCGGGTCGAAAATGAAGCACTCGTCGCAGTACGGCGCAGGGATCAGCTCGTTCCGATCGAGAGGCAGCGCACGGTGCAGCGAGAGGTCCAGCGCCTGCACCGACCCCGTGGGGGTCACCACCGTCCACAGCCCCTTGCCGTCAGTCTGCAAGAGAAGCCGATGGTGCCAGAAGAAGGCGTTCGGGTCGTCGAAGTAGTCGATCAGCACCTGAGGGCTGGGCACATCCAGCGCCCGTGGGGCACGCGCGGCCGCAGCCGCGGCGTGCGCCACCACGCGGGGCTAGGGCCGCCCGCCTGAGCCAGCAGCGAAGCCAGCCCCGTGTAGGCGCCCGGGCGGAGGTGGGCCCCCGCCGGCGAACGCGTCCGCGGATGCGGCTCGCAGCAGCCGCGGGTAGCCACCACGACTGCGAAGCCCACGAGCAGCAGGAGCGCCGCCAGGCCGGCCCACGCGGGCGGCGTCAGCAGCGCACACAGCGGCGGGGACTCCACCGCACACTTGGACGCCGGTGCCGCCGGCGCCTGGGAGGAGCTGAGGGCGCCCAGGCAGCGGTCCAGGGCCAGCTCCAGGCCGGGCGAGTCGCCCACGCAGCGGGCCGCCTCGCCCGCAGGCACGCCACCGACCTCGCAGTGGCAGCGGCACTCAGGTGACGGGATGTCGAAGGCTCGAGCGTAGAGCGAGGCCCAGGTCGAGACGAGGTTCGCGGCGCCCAGCCAGCCTCCGAAGTCCTTCGGGAGGCTTGAACCCACATGACTATAGAGGATACCTGACGTATCCAATGCCTCCCCGTTCCCTTTACACTGAGCAGGTAAACACATCGAGATTATCAAGAGTGGCGGCGCTGCAACCTTTATCTACAAAACGAATGCGCATTGTGCCAATGACGTCACCAGTTCTGGGAATCGGGAGCGAGGAAGTGACAACGCCATAACTTTTGCCACCCCGTTGCTCCGCACAATCACAATTTCATGCCGAACCAACGGGGATTCGCATTCCATCTGGAAATCATGGCGGGAGACGGAGATGTAAACATCCCACTACACGTCTCTTCAATGAAGAACTGCACAGGCGGCCATGGTCCCACCACAGCGAATGAAGGAGAATGGGAAGAAGAAATATTACATCACTGTGCCACTCAAGAGAGAGTTTCAGTTTCACCCCATGCGACCCTTTGAAAACTGGAGTCAGTGCCCAAACGCCTCCTCTGATGGGCTTGCCCGCCGTCCCCGCCGGACCCGCCACCACTCCTCCCAAGAGGGACTGTAGGTGTGGCTGTGCCACCACTCCCAAGAAGATTGGCAGGCGCCTGTCCTACGTACATCATCCCCGGTCGGAAAAGGAGACCGTCGCCCATCAGCAATTTATATAGATCGGATGGCGGGGACGGGGGAGCGACCATCCCGCCACTTGTACAGCGAGCCCTCCCACTGAACCATCGACTTCCCCTTCCTTCCCTCCTCCCTCCCCTCCCCTCCCCTCCCCTCCCCTTCCCTCCCTTCCTCGGCTCCCCCCTCCGCCCCTCCCCTCTCCCCCTCATTCCCTCCTCCCTCCCCCCCCCTCCTCTCCCCTTCCCCTCCCTTCCCTCCCCTCGCGCGCGGCGGGCGCCGAGACCCCCCCCCAGACACGAGGGAGGGGCGGGGGGGGGGGGGGCGGCGGCGGCGGCGCTGCC